AGCTTGAAATGTTATTTTTAAAGACATAATTCACTTAGACAACTCATTGCAAAGCCTGAAAAAACAACTTGTCATTACAAGATATAGACAGATGGATCAATACATTAATTATATTACTCATTTCTTGAAGTTTATGGGGGTAATTCACTTAGACAACTCATTGCAAAGCCCGAAAAAACAACTTGTCATTGGACAGAATAAGGGGAATTGCTTATTTCCATGTGCTTATGCGCATGCAATTTATGCCCCACCACACGTGCAAAGCAAGATTTAGCAAATGGCCAAGATAACTCTATTGAACTAGCCTGCTTCTGGTGAAAAAAGTCCATCTTAACATTTTTACCATATTTTTCCATGTATAAGACACCTCCATGTATAAGACCCACACAAAGACGCCCCCATGTATAAGACCCCCCCCAACACACATACACTTTTCTAATCCAAAATTAAGAAATCTAAATTGGGATTAGCAAGTGTAGGGGGAAAGGGATCAAAGCACTGCAGAATCACTTTGATCCCTGCTTTCCCCTCCACTTGTTTTTGTTCTCTCCTCAGCTTACTTCCGTGTATAAGACGACCCTCGATTTTTAGTCTAAAAATTTTAGACAAAAGTGTAGTCGTATACACGGAAAAATACAGTAATTTGTTTTTAATTTTACCTATCGTTCATATATGCCGACAAAAGTGTAGTCTTATACACGGAAAAAACAGTAATTTGTTTTTAATTTTACCTATTGTTCATATATGCCCATCATATACTCGTTCATATATGCCCATCATTTTCAATTGTGTGAGGCTCTCATATGAGTAAAGGCAGAAGAATGATGTATGTGTGGTGGTCATGAGGCTAGAACGGAGATCCTTATAGCAAAAATGTTGGCTAGGTGCAATAATAACAAACGGTTACTCTCACTGCTGTAGTTATTAAGACAGGGAGAAATACGGGACCCATGCTCCTCAGACAGCTAAGGTCTCCCATAGCCTTCTCCTTTCTGCCTCCAATAGGTGAAATGTAAGCCTCAAGATCTATCAAGGAAATCCGTGTTTTCCCTCACCGGAAAACTCTCTATAAAAAGTAGGAGGCAGCCCTCTAAACTCAGAACTCAACTGTCCCTCCTGTCTGGATTTTCCAAGTGGGCTAAATTAAAGCAGCAGGTTTAAAATTAAGGGATAAAGCATCTCCATAATTCCTCCAGAAATAAATACAGCAAAGTTTTGGACTCAGCCTAAATCTACACGATGCAGTAGAGTCAAGGTTTCTTGCTACATGGATCACGATGGCTGATCAAATAAAAGAGCGCCACTGTGTCTCATTGCCATTAAATCTATTCTGAAACTTTCCTGTCCAGACGTGAGTGTGAAATAGCACCCTAACTCTGGTGGGGGCAGCTCTCAGAATATATTTAAGAGCATCCTGCAAGATCTGGATAATACCTAACCTGGAACGGTGGACGGGAAAGGATGTTGGAAGTTCTGCATGACACAGCTCTTTGTTGGCCCTTCGTGGGATTCCGGGTGCGATTTAGGGATAGTTTTCGAAAAATTCTGGACTACGAATACTATAATTCTCCATTTGGAGAGTTATGCCTGTCTTGCAGTTACCTAAAGGATGCAGCTGGGAGAAAGGTCAAAAACATGAAAGGTTTGGTGCCTAAGCTAGGCCTAGCTCCCCCTAAGCTTCCTGTTCGGAAAGGAAGCTCCCAGCTAGCACTGGGGCAGGAACAGGAAGCTGGACTGGAGCGAGGCCGAGCTTAGCCTCAAAGCCTTAGGCCTAGCTCCATCCCATTTAGGTGTCTACGAGGCAGACGGAACTCCCAAGATGGAGAATTATGGTATCTGTAGTCCAAAAAAATCCAAAAATCACACCTCAAGTGTGATTCTTTTGTTTTTTATTCCCCCCAGGCATCCAAGACAGGGACACTAACTTTCTTGGTGTTTTTCACTGATCAGAAGATCTTATTCTAGTGATGGCTGTGTTTTTAACATGGTCCTGGCGCCACCGTTTCCTAAGCTGATACACCCAAGACATCTTTAAGCTCATCTGAAGAGATGGAAGGTTTTTGACTGAAACAAAAGCACAAATGAAGAAACAAACAACCCCCTGTGGAGGGAACAAGGGAGACCTTCCATGGTCCAGTGATTTCTCCTTCTATAACCAGCAAGCAAGAGCTGCTACATAGGCAGCATAATATATTAGGCACTTCCATATAGGAATCTGCAAAAAAGCCGAACAACGTGGGATTGCACAGTAACCTGTCATGAGGATGTCTTCTGTTCTTCCAACCCCTGAGGACCTGCTGAGAGCTTCGTGGCACAGTAGTTAAACAGCAGTACTGCCGTGAAGACTCTGCTCATGGCCCGAGTTTCTTCCTGGGCTCAGGTAGCCAGCTCAAGGTTCAATCAACCTTCCATCCTTCTGAAGTCGGCCAATTGTCTACCCAGCTTGCTGGGGGTGGGGAGCAATGTATAGCCCACATCATTAAATTGCAACCACCCAGAGAGAGCTTTACGCACTACAGGGTGGTATATAAGCAACGAACTTTAGTGTTGGCCAGGGCTTCCGAGCATGTGGACTTGAGATACACATTGGGGAAGATGGAGAGCCAGGAGTGGGAACGTTCAGTGGTGGGATGACATGAGAACGTCCTTATGGGGCCACCAAGTAGCAGGAAGAAAGGGGAGAAGAGAGTCCATAGGCTTACATAGAAGGTGAGTGGGACAATACAGAAGGAAGGGGTTTAAAATGGCACTGACTGGGGAACTACTGGGAGCACCCACTGGGCCAGTTCTTGACTCTCCGGCTGCCATCTTCCATGACTCTTTGAAGCCTCCTTCAACGTACTTGGAGCATCCGTTGATTTAACTCTGGCTTATTTTCTGCAACTGGCGAGTTGGCACCTGAGGCCTCACTGCCATCTTCGTTACGCCTGGCTTGAGAAATTGGGATTTATAAGGACAGGACAGGAGGGGGGAACCTGCCTCTTGAGCATGCGCTAGCCCTACTGGTTCTGTGCTGCGCCTGCCTGTTTTCCGTTTCCTTTTGTATGGGGAGAATCAGCTAAGAGGCGGTATTGGGGTTCTGGGTAGGTGGGTTCACACCCTTCCATCAACAGTTCTTTTCTTTATCTTGTTTTCTTTCTTTCTTTCTTTCTTTCTTTCTTTCTTTCTTTCTTTCTTTCTTTCTTTCTTTCTTTCTTTCTTTCTTTCTTTCTTTCTTTCTTTTTGTAAATTTCAACACCTTATTTGTCCTGCCTTACTTGCTCCTCTGCTCTTCCGATACTGGCCATCCCGGATCTCCAGCCTAATTCTTCCTGACCTTCTACCTTAGGTTCTTTTAACTACAGACCCCAGGACATGTTAAGAGACAGGCTTAGAATGAACCATGAACCAAAAACGACTCAACAAAGGGGCTCCTTTGTGGTTCGTCCCACAACCCTGGTCAGGGGATCCCGTTTTACTCGAGCAAAATGAAATGCCAAACTTCTTGCCATTTGGCATTTCATTTGCTTTTGGGAAAAGGGAATGCCTACCTGACCCCCTTCGCACTGCCCACTTCTTGCCTCCACCTAGCATCTCCCACTGCCTCCGGTGCTGTCTCCACCACCAAGGGGGGGCGGTATCCTCAGAGGCAGTGGGCCTGGCCCCCCTGCTACCTCTGCGCGTGCACCCGCCTATTAGCTGGGCAACGGGTGTGTGCTCAGAAGCCCAGTGGGAAACAAAGAAGGCATGAGCAGGTAGGCCCACCCCCAGGTATGAACCAGAAAAACGAATGGCAAACAGATTCGTTTTTCTAGGGGTTCGTAGTGGTTCGTGGTTCGCCACGAACTACGAACCATCCTGAACTATCGATTTTCCTGTTTGTGCCCATCTCTGTTTGGTCTAAACCAAGCTCTGCTCGCAGCATCCTTCTTCTGTGTAGGAAATTTGTAATAAAGCAGTCCTTCACTCATTGCCGTCTGCACTCCTCCTCCGGAGTCAAAACAATTGCACCGTACAAGTATTGTCAACGTATTATTTCCGTCCAGCCAAACGGAGAACATGCTGGGGACACACACACAGATGCACCACACTTTGAGCAGCACCACCACTACCAGGGACGACAAAAACACAGAGCTATCCGCCAGCCTGTAAAAGAGTCGTTTTAANGGGGGGGGGCAGCCAAGTTCCTTCCGGTCAGTTCCTGAACTCTGCATCAGCTCTAAATCTACATCTTCGCCTGCTGCCAATTTACCAACTGGACCCTTAGGTCAGTTATTTAGGGCATGGTCCTTCAAGGAGTCAACCCACGTGGTCCTTCCAAGCTGGGGGTTGCAGCATCAACCCAGGCAGCCTCCACGGATCTTGTGAGATCCTCGTTTACCATTAAAAATCAGCAAACACCAGCATGGAGTCTCAGGCAACATGGATAACATGGAGAACAGCCTGGAAGTTCTCCTCGTTGAATGGCTGATTTGCTGGGCATGGCACAAGAGCCACTGCTAGGTCAAGCACTGAGGCCTCTAGGAATGGCCCCTTCCCAGCGGAGGACATGATGGGCCTCCAAACGCCAGACCACTATCATGCTCCCCAGAGTAAAGAACACTGGCTACCTCTAAAGGTAGCCTCTAACGTAAGCACCTCTAACGTAAGCATCACATGCTTACGTTATGCCCACGGATTCCTAGGTCTTCCATGCTTTCATGTTTTTCTTGCCCATACTTTATGGGATCCCTTCTTTGAGCTTCCATGAAAACTGCTTTTCCGCTAAAACTCCAGAATTAAGCATTCTTTTAAAATCTCTCTGCTTTCCAAATCAGTTTAGAAACATTATCCCCTTGATGAGAAATATAAGGTGTGCTTAATGATGTTGCTTTTGATTAGCTACTGCCTTTATCTAGATAAAGTCGAGATAATAATGAGAAAGTAAAGCCCCCAAGCCGGGTGTTGACTTCTCCCTAGGGATGTGTGCCAGAGCTGAAAACCAGACACATGTCTTGGGATGTTTTCTCAATTATACTTACAAGTAAATGCTAGATTCATTGCCTCCAATATCAGGCGACTGGAGCTTCTGAACCAAGATGATGATGATGCCGACGAAAAGCAAAAAGTTGATCTGGGGAAGAAGGGGGGGAAAAAACACTATTGGTGAGTCACGATGGGCCACGATCATGAACACTGGATAATTACACACAGGGCTGAGTCAGAGCTTGGAAACAAGGCATTATAAGCGGTGGCATGGCTTTATCTTCATTGCTGTTGTAATTACAATGGCACAAAAACATGCATTCTAGCGTTAATGTGAATAATTTGGGTTTGTGGGTGTAACCACCAGCATTTCCTCATTATTCAACATTGACTGAAATCCAAATGGTAATCGCAACAAGAGTGGACCCACTAAGTCAGCTGCAGCTTTTATCTATCTATCTATCTGTCTGTCTGTCTGTCCGTCCGTCCGTCCGTCCGTCCGTCCGTCCGTCCGTCCGTCCGTCCGTCCGTCCGTCCGTCCGTCCGTCCGTCCGTCCGTCCGTCCGTCCGTCCGTCCGTCCGTCCGTCCGTCCGTCCGTCCGTCCGTCCGTCCGTCCGTCCGTCCGTCCGTCCGTCCGTCCGTCCGTCCGTCCGTCCGTCCGTCCGTCCGTCCGTCCGTCTTTTGTACCGCCCATCTGGCTGCAAGCCCACTCTGGTAGGTTTACAATATAGCATTCACCATATTTTTCTGTGTATAAGACACCCCCATGTATAAGACGCCCCCCATTTTTCTAGCCCAAAATTAAGAAATCTAAGTGGGGCTTAACAAATGTAGGGGGAAAAGGTTCAAAGCACTGCAGGATCGCTTTGATCCCTGCTTTCCCCCCACTTGTTTTTTCTCTCCTCAGCTTTCTTCCATGTATAAGAAGACCCTCAATTTTCAGTCTAAAGATTTTAGACAAAAGTATAGTCTTATACATGGAAAAATATGGTATGCAACTGCCTTGTCCACTCAGGGAAGCGGCAGGATTCTAGCCAATCCGACACGTACAGGTCACTCAGAAAGACTGTCTGATTGATCCAAATGACACAAGCAATCCATCTAGTGCTCCCGATGTTTATATATCTAAAAACTAGGTGCATAAATCTTTGCTTGCCTTCTTCGGGTGCAAGAAAAAAGCACAAACCTTTTCTCTTTCTCTGTGGTGTATTATTTGTCAGCCTCTTTGTGATCAATCAGCCAGACTTCCCGAGCCACCAGTACACGTGGGCTCTGCCTCATTTCATAGCTTTGCACAAAGACATGTTGCGGAGCTTGTGAAAACTGTAATGGTCCCTTGAAGTAGCCGTCTGCTTGGGTGTATGAGGAATGCTGGCTCTCTCTGTGTTTGTGTGTGTTTGTATTAAGGATGCCAATCGTTTGTTGTGTCCTTCTGTGCAAGGACCCAAATGTTCTCTCTTTGCCAGAGAGACAGAGATGTGAAGTAGCCTCTGAGGTCCACACGGCCAATCTGTGCATTTAGGAGCATGTGATATTTATAGACCGTGGTTTAAAATCCATTGTTTTATCTGCTGTCAGCCATCCTGGGTCCCCTTATGGGGAGAAAGGTGGCGAATGAACGAACTAACAAATGAATGAATGAACGAACGAACAAACGAACAAACAAACAAACAAACAAACAAACGAAAGAACGAAAGAACGAAAGAACGAAAGAACGAAAGAAAGAAAGAAAGAAAGAAAGAAAGAAATAAAAGAAAGAAAGAAAGAAAGAAAGAAATGCTGCACAAATCATGAATGATCTCTGTTCTGCCCCATGGGCAAAGAACAGAATCCAGATGTGCAACGAATCTGTCGAAATGTCTTTTACAGAAAATTGTGCTTCTTGATGCTGGAGCAGAGCCCGTGTCCAGAGCATCCTGACCCTTGTTGATTGAGCTTACCATTATTGATGCCACGACAGGGCCTTTGATGACCCACCACAAGGCCGTGTTGTCGTTCATGTCCCAACAGCTGATGCCCGAATGGAAGCAGGGAGGCAGGAAGTAAAAGGGGGGTGGGGAGAAAAAGATTGAGATGGTCGGGATGAAAACCCATGTGTCTGCTTAAAAAGTAGTGACTGACACCAGTCCTAATAGCTGTTCATGTACAATAAAGGTTAATTGACTTTTTTTATCCCCCCCCCCGAACTGCTGGATAATTTCGTGGTTCAGGAGAACAAAACAGCCAAAATACAGAAGGACATTTCAGGACTCATGGGCTACCCCTCCCCCCTGAAAAAGAGGCTCTTCTTCCTCTTAGCATCAATCTGGGGTCCAAACAGGATGATGCTGACTTGAAAGTTCAGTGAAATCAACGGAAACGGTTCAGGACTTTCATTGGACATTTCCAGGAGATATGCTACTTGGGGGAGAGGTTTAGCACCACATTTAATTCCGAACTTTAAAACAACCTGCTTTAAAATTCGGAATAAAATCCGGAGCATCTGATCTTTTCCCGTCCCCTCTCGAAAAACCAGGCTGAGCAGCCTTAAAAATAACATTTAAACATTCTTTTTTTAAAAATGGCAATACAATTTAATCTGGAGGTCACCCTAGCGACAACAACAGCAGCCAGAGCTACCAGAGGTGACGATGAAGACATGATATACCCACCCAATGTTGTCAAAGTGAAGCCGAAGGACTGCCCAGATCGTGACGCAGATGGTGGGAGTTCCTGCAGAGAGTAAGAGGAAAAGGGTGTACGGTGGAGGCTGTTACACCTGCTGTGTCTCAGAGTTTCCCAAATGTCAAGGGGAACCCAATTATTACCACCTTCGACGCATAGAAAGAGGAGAGGAGACAACATGAGCTTCTTGAAAGAATCGCCTGGTGGAACAGCTCCAACGAATACGTTGGCTAGGGACCCAAAGAGAGAGGATCTGACCAAGGTGCCTGATATCCCCCCCATGCTGTGGAAGGCTGCAGGAAGAGAAGGATCTGCCCCTGAAAACGATTCCCCATCTCTGTCTATCACTTCTGAATTATGCCGACTGTAAAAATGAGTGGCCTCCAAAATGTCCTATCATTAATACTTCTTGAAAACCCAAGACCATGGCTTCTTTTATGGAGCTGATCCATCTCACATTCACCTCCTCCTCTTTTCCTGCCCCCTCTTGACTTTTCCAGCAGATTTCTCTCCTAGGTTAAGGTCAAGTCCATGAGCTGCGCAACTCCTTCACAAACAAAACAGACTCATGAGGAAGCAAGGTACCGTCCATCACTCTGTGAAAGAGACCTACCCCAGCCAATGATGGTGTACCAGTAGAAATATCTCCTTTCGGGGAAAAAGGTCTCGACCAGTAAGGTGAAGAGGTAGAGGCCTTCAATGAAGAGCCAGAAATAGTTGGACATCACACAGTAGTGGAAGAACACCATCACCGCCTTGCATTCCACCTGCGGAAAACAAGCACAGATTTCAACCCTGTTGCAAAAAGTAATGTCACCACTGCCACCCATCGCAAGAAACCATTTTTTCCCAAGAATGGGGGAGGGGTACAGTTGATTTCTAAAACAGATTTCTTTCCCTAGCACAAGAAATCTGTTTTTTTATATAAGAGGTTGGTTTGTTTGTTTAACTTTAATTTATGAATGAACGAATGAACGAACAAATTTAATTTATATACCACCCCATCAGCACAGAGGCACTATTCTGGGCCATTTACAGCAAGCCAAAACATATATTAATAAACACAAATGAACAGTTTTAAAAAATGAAGGCAATGAACAGCATAAAACCCAATGCCACCGGAGACCATTTCTCCTATAATAGCGGGAGGGGAGGTGGACCGACAACCAGGGGTGGGTTTGAAAGGTCTCCCTGAAAAGCTGTGTTTTCAGTGACCTCTTAAATGATAGCAGGGAGGGGGCCAGGCATTCTCTCCTCCAGGAGCTGGTTCTATAAGATCGGGGCCACCACATAGAAGGCCCTGCATCTTGTGGATCGCTTCTGGGCCTCTCTTGGGGTGGCTACCTGGAGAAGCCTAGTCTGGGAAGATCTGGTGGGTCAGGCAGATGACATCGAGGAGAGAGCCTCTGAGATGTTATGTGGTCCCAAATAACTTTTTCCCCCTTCTTTTTTTTTAATTTTAGCCCCCCCCCTTTGTGGGAGAAACTGCCTGTTTGGGTGCACCAGGTACCACCCCTCCCAACATTCAAGAAATTACTCAAGACAGGAATTATAGGAGGCAGCCTTTAAGAGCATCATATCCTGAAGCGATGGGAATCTTAATATTTGAACATTCAGTTTTCCGTAGATTACACACTTGAGTTGAGTATAGTGTCCTTTTGGCGATGCTACTGTTATTATGAGAACAGAGACAGTGGGGGTGGCAGGACTTCGCTTGTTCCTACACTGCCCAGAGCAGTGTGAGTTCGCTAATTGGGCAGTATATAAATGAAATGAAATAAAATAAAACAATTGATTGACTGATTTATTTTATAAAATAAAACAATTGATTGATTTATTGATTGATTTTCCAACTCTTTCTTTGGAAGGGGCTGATCAAAACTCTGATTTATAAAGAGAATCTATAATATATTCTCTTTATATATTGTATATACTTTGGTATGATGTCTGGAACTAAAATTATTTAGAATTATTATGAAAAAAAAACGGATTAAATAAAAGATGGAAGGAACAATAGTGCCAAAGATTAGTATTCGTGAAACACGGAAATGAGTCTGGAACACCATAAATACAGGAATTGATAGTAAGAATACTGAGGACTGAAGAAATCAATATGTTAACAGACTAGCTGAATAAAAAAGAGAGAGAGAGAAAGAGAGTGAGAGAGAGAAAGGAGAACTGGGAAACTTGGTGGTCACTCAATATATGATCACAAAATAGAATCATAGTATAGGAAGAGTTACTTTTAAATACTAGATAAATATTAACGGCTACATAATTACCGTATTTTTTGCACCATAAGACGCACTTTTTTCCCACAAAACAGGGGGGTGGAAAGTCTGTGCATCTTATGGAGCGAAGAAAACAGATTATATTTTCCTGTTTTCTTCTACTAAAAAATTGGTGCGTCTTATGGAAAGGTGCGTCTTATGGAGCGAAAAATACGGGTAATAATTAGAATTACAAAATATAGGTCTGAATTTGGATTTTCCTTATATATTGTATATATTCTCGTATGTTATCTGGAACTACTTTTAGAAGGGATTATTTAGAAGTATTATGAAAATAATGACTTGTATTGTGTATTGTGTTTGTTCAAATCCACCTCCTCTAAATATAATCCTTGTCCCAGTTACACACACACACCCCAGCCGGCCCTACCCTTGTAAAGAAGAAAATAATTTAAAAATAAAACAACAACAACTCTGATTTATGAAATGATGTCTAGAGGCCAGGAACAGACCTCGGTGGGCTTCAACAAGGATTGGAATCTTAAACGGGCAACACGGAAGGATGACGAGGACAACATCAACGACAACAACCTCCTTTAAGACATGCCAACAAGGGCCTTCAATAGGAAGAAGCGGAACCCTTACAAATGCCATCGTGAGCGTCCCATTCCGAAGCACGGAAAAGCAATTTCAGACATCAGGAGGTGTTTGATGAAATCTTTCACGCCGGTAGGTAGCTTAAAAGGTTTCCCTGGGAAAGCGGAGATTTCGCCCAATGGATGCTAATTGGCAGGCGGCCGTTCTCTCCTGAATGCGACAAAAGGACCCAGCTGCGTGTAGACCTGTGTTATATTTGAGGAGTAATCCTTTAGAGTAAGAATGAAAGGGGGGAGTCTTCTGGGGAGGAATAAATATGCCGTGGAATTGCTAAGAAGCTTGTATAAGGATGCAGCACACCGGGTGCCCCAAACAACTTTGCATCGTTCCGGTTTGCAGAATGCATTTTCAGTTGGTAGCAGAAAATGAATAAGCGTACGGTAGCAGACTGGTTTATGGGAAGAAGTCCAAAATGGGCATACAGCCTCTAGAACAAGAAGACAGAGGTACCTGCCTTAGACCAAGTCATCTGCCCAGCTTAGAAGGCCCCTGGCTCTTTTCTAGCCCTACCTGTGTGCTGGTGTTGTTACATGCTGTCAACTCGCTCCCAAATGATTGGACTCCAAAATGTCTTGTCTTCAACAACCCTGCTCAGCTCTTGTAGACTCAAGCCTGTGGCTTCCTTGAGAAAGTCATTCCATCTCATACTTAGATCATCCTCTTTTCCTGCTGCCTTCAACTTTTCCTAGCATTATTGCCTCTCCCAGAGAATCCTGCCTTCTTGTGATGTGCCCAGAATAGGACAGCCTCCGTTTTGTCATTTTTGCCTACATTTTTTGCCTTCAGGCTTGATTTGATCTAGGACCCAATTGTTGGTCTTTCTGGCAGTCCGGGGCGTCCACAAAGCTCTCCTCCAGCACCACGTTTCCAACGAATCATTTTTCCCCCCTATCATCTGTCTTCACTGCCCAGCTCTGACACGAGGTGATGAGAAATACAAGTGTGTCAACAATGAAAAGGATGTATCTGTGAAGATACTCAGTCATCCAGGTGAGGTTATCTGGAAGTTGGGTCCTGGCAACGGGACTTCTTTCTTCTTAGGGCTGAAGGGTTTCTCTACTCATCCAAGCAGCTTCTTCAGTGTAAGGAGATTTGGTAGGAGAGCCCTGATATCTCCTCCAGGTTGGTTTCACTCCCCCCCCTCTTCTTCTTCTTCTTCTTCTTCTTCTTCTTCTTCTTCTTCTTCTTCTTCTTCTTCTTCTTCTTCTTCTTCTTCTTCTTCTTCTTCTTGTTAATTACATAAATAGTATTCTCTTTGGGGTATACAAATACAACAAATAAAATACGGAAATCTTATATATCATTATACTGTAGCCAGCTTTCCTATCTAGCCTTTCTTTTTTCTGGCCGATATTACCGTTGAGACAAAGCAGTGGTTGCTATCCTGTTCAGCGTAGAGGACCCCATCCTTAATGAAGACTGATATGGCTCGTAAGATGAAGGAAACGAAGAGGTTCATGTGAATGAAATTCCGTGTGCAGTGCAGTTTCCTAGGATTGAGAGGGGAGGGAAAGACAGCAGAGTAAAAAGACGTTATCCCATTTGTTGACCACTTCTCCTTTTTGCATCCTTCCTTAACGTGGTTCCCGCCAGATGTTCCTGACTACAAAGTCCATCAACCCCAGACAGCATGCTCTACACAGAAAAGAATACCGCAGACCTCTAATCTCTCCTTCTCTCAAATCTTCTGAGTTCTTCCTTGTTGAGATTCCCCTTGAGATTTTGAGATTTCTCCTTGTCCTGGTGAGATTTCCGGTGTTTCCCTAACTTCTCCCCCTCCCATTTTTCTTATATTGTTTTGTGTAGGAAATTAGGAAATTGTGCATGAGTTAATGCCTTTTCTGGTCAGTCCTGTGCCGGAAAGATGCCATTCTGCACAGGAATGGTACTGATCCTGCACAGCTTGAAAATATCCCTACAAATCATCACATTTGCAAGATTTCTCTCAGTCATTCTTTGTGTGTGTGTGTGTGAGTGTGTGTGTGTGAGTGAGTGAGTCTTGCTCAGAGACAAGAGATTTCTTTTCCCTCAGTTCTTCTGCAATGAGAACAAAGACATAATGAGCATTATTTTTACCGCTACTCATCTGGTGGGAATCGTGTGCAGTAGGGGTCACATGGAGCCCCCTGCTCGTTTTTTTAACCCTCTGCCACCACAACGGTACTGAATTTCCTGCATACCATGCCCTCATTTTTTAAAACTAAAGAGTTAAGAACTTTCTCATGATGATTCTAAGATGTCTGGGGTCTTCTGCACATCGGCCCTGAGCTAGGCTGGATCCCGGCTTCACATTTTCAGCACTGTAGCTAAAAATCAACCCTAATGTAGCTTACCTACGATCTTCACAATAGCTCAGAAAATAAGGATTTTCCCAAGAACAACATCTGGTTACAAGGTGGTTTGGAACAGGCAATTAGGAGCCATCAGCTTTATAAAAGAGCCGCTCCCTCCTTTGCTGATATAAGCTCATCCAACTGCCTATAATTTTTGACCATTTTTATGGGGAGGGACAGGCTATGGAGATCTTCACAATGACTGCCTGCATTTCTAAATCGGTCATTACTTCACTGCCTGTTCATGCATCCAGATCCTCACCTGCTGACACCAACTCACCTGAAACGGCATAAAATCACCATAGCTGTGGTGAGCGAAACTAGGGAAGTGCTATACCCGACCGTGTACAGAGCCTTTACTGAGAGGTAGTAGTAATCCTGGGGAAGCAAGAGAAGACACAATCATTACTATTTCATTCATTCATTCATTCATTCATTCATTCATTCATTCATTCATTCATTCATTTGATTTTTATACCCCCCATCTGGCTACCAAAGCCAATCTGGGCAGTTCCCAAGTGCAGTAATAAAAGCACAACCAAGCCATAACAATAACAACCAAACAAATCATGAGAAAAACTAAAATACGTTCCAAGTGCAGTAATAAAAGCACAACCAAGCCATAACAATAACAACCAAACAAATCATGAGAAAAACTAAAACAAAATACGTTAATATAATAACACAGTAGAACAATAAAAGCATAAGGAAAGCATGGTGAAGGGCTGAGTATTAATTATTAGAGGCACATTACTATGGAGTCCATTAGCGTTCCAGGGAGATGATTCAGGCAGACCTTTGTGACTGAGCCATCACCCTTGCAAATGAAGCCTGTGTTTACCTCCTGAGGACCAATCACAAGGCAAGCTAATAAGACAGGCTACAGGAGGCATGAAAAGCTCCTGGTGTCACAGAGTGGGCATTTTTCAGTATTCAAGGTATTCCTTGTTCTAATGATGGACTTTCTACAAAGTTGAGCTTCGCCCAGAGTGCAAAAGTGGGGGAAAAGAAGCATGAAAGCAGTGGCAGATGGGACCCGTAGTAGCACTGCAGCAAACGATTTCCCCCAGCTTTCGTAACCACTCTGACATGGTCACATACATTTTTGCCAGTTGGTTTGTTGGCTGTAGTTATTTTCGTAACTAGAACAAATTGGTGGTTTTTTTGGTTGTTTTATGGTTATAACGTTCTAGCTTTGCTTTCGTAACCACTCTGACATGGTCACATAAAACATTTTTTGCCAATTGGTTTGTTGGCTGTAGTTATTTTTGTAACTAGAACAAATTGGTATGGGGTTTTTTTTGGTTGTTTTATGGTTACAACGTTCCAACTGAACACATAGCAAATCGGAAATAGTTATAGGCCACAGAATCTTACATTATAGAATCATAGAATTATCTTTCGTAACCACTCTGACATGGTCACATAAAACATTTTTTGCCAATTGGTTTGTTGGCTGTAGTTATTTTTGTAACTAGAACAAATTGGTATGGGGTTTTTTTTGGTTGTTTTATGGTTACAACGTTCCAACTGAACACATAGCAAATCGGAAATAGTTATAGGCCACAGAATCTTACATTATAGAATCATAGAATTATCATGTTGGAAGGGGCCTCTAAGGCCATCGACTCCAACCCCCTGGTCAAGGCAGGAATACAAACCAAAGGATATCTGACAGCGGGTTCTCTAAATTTCTCTTGATTGCCTCCAGTGTTGGAGCGCTCACCGCCTCTCAAGGTAACTGGTTCCATTGTCATACTGCTCGAACAGTTAGGAAGTTTTTTCTAAAATTTCGTTTCACATACTGCTCGAACAGTTAGGAAGTTTTTTTTCCTAAAATTTGTTTCCTGTAACTTGAGAGGAGGGGCATGATCTGTTCTCGATCACCTCTGAATGCAGGACATGCAACAATGGGCTCAAGTTACCAGAAGCCATATATAGACTGAAATCATGTTGTTGAGCAAGTCACAACTAGAATATGACCATTAAAACATACATTGATGAAACATACAGAGGAGTTGACTCAACAAAATCCGACAGAGTAGACCTTTGGTTGAGATGGGCAGGATAGAAATCCAAGAAATAAATCAATTGATTCAATGGGCCTACTGTAGCTGTGACTTACTGGACTAGTGAATGTTGAGATGGGCAGGATAGAAATCCAAGAAACAAATCAATTGATTCAATGGGCCTACGGTAGCTGTGACTTACTGGACTAGTGAATAGGACAGAGTGGAATTACAGAGACACACATAGAATCATAGCATAATGGAGTTGGAACAGGGCCTGTAAGGACATTGAGTCCAACCGCCGGCTCAAGGCAGGAATCCAAATCAAAGCAGATCTGGTAGATGGTTGTCCAATTTTCTCTTAAATGACTCCAGCATTGGAGGGCTCACCACCTCCCCCTGAGATCACAGAGTCCGTCGTCATACTGCTCTAACAGTTAGGAAGTTCTCCTGATATTTAGCTTAACTCCAGCTTCCTGTAGTTTGAGCCCATTCTTATATCTAACAGTTAGGAAGTTCTTCCTGATATTTAGCCTAACTCCAGCTTCCTGTAGTTTGAGTCCATTCTTATATGTCCTGCACTCTGGAATGATCGAGAACAGATTCTGTCCCTCCTCTGTATGATTACCGTGCAAGTGGTCATACATCCAGGACCAAGACCCATTGAAAACAAGCTGATCTGAATTTCCACCTACCTGGTCAGGATCGCTGTCATTATAATCAATTCCACAGGCATCGTAGTAATGAGGGAAAGGGTCCGACCAGCCGTCCTCGGTGCAGTTTCTGCTGACGACTTTTAAATCTGAAGATCCACCTGTCAGTTAAAACAAGCACAGGGCATCGGTACCAAATGTGATGATGGACCCGAGGAAGTTCATACCACATTCCCGGAGCAGGAAAGTTACTTTTTAGAAGCTATAGCCAAAATCCTATTGCTGATCTATGTTAACAGAAGGGGAATGGTGAATGTCTTGCCAGTAGAGATGGGCACGGAATGAACCCAAAAAGCTGATGAACCAGGCTGGTTCGTGGTTGATTTCATGACCCATCTTGGGATTCCATTTGGCCGAAGCAAAACGAAAGGCCGAACTTTTCCCCCCTTTGCTGTTTCATTTTCGTTTTGCTTCAACAAAACGGGATGCATGCCCAACCTCTTCCATCGAGTCCAACCCTACCTACTCCTGCCAGCTTGTCGGCCGCTCCCACCCCTGCAGGTATCATCCTCTGAGCATGTGCACATGGTGGCAGCAGAAGCATGTAGTCCCCTCCCAGCATGAATTGGAAAAACAAACTGGGAATGGTTTGTTTTTCCAGAGGTTTGCGGTGGTTCACGGTCAGCCATAAAATGCAAACCACCAGTGCCCATCTACGGTCAGCCATAAAATGCAAACCACCAGCGCCCATCTCTGTTGTTGTTATTTAGTCATTAAGTCATGTCGGACTCTTCATGACCCCACGGACCAGAGCACGCCAGGCCCTCCTGTCTTCCTCGGCCTCCCGGAGTTGGATCAGATTCATGTTGGTCACTTTGATGACCCTGTCCAGCCATCTCGTCCTCTGTCGTCCCCTTCTCTGCTTGGCCATAAATGTCCGGGAACATAACCAGCACCCTGCCAAAGAGGGGCAATCTGTGGCTAAGACTCACGCAACTTAATGCGCTGTCAAGTCAATTCCAAATTACGGTGACTCTTGATTTAGGATGATGCTATAATTTGGGTGCCAAGTGAAAACTGGCCTGTTCACCTAAGTGTTTGAGGTAATCATGCCTTGGTGTCGAGTCTGTTGAATTGTAAGAGTTGCCTTTTTTGTTGCTCGTATTCTTGTGTGCAATTCGTTCAAATCACTTTAAAGTGGCCATTGCTTTTTTCACCCCTCGCCCAAGATTTTCACAAAAGAAGGACAGGATAAAACAATGTCGGTGGATATAGACAAATGCAGATTCTAGCCAGAACAAATAGCATTTGTCAGCTGGCCATAAAGGGGTTAAAAATACTTCTCCCCAACCCTCCTGAGGCCGATGTTCATTTATTTCTTTAAAGCTGGGTGGAAGTTCCACATAACAGGATGTAATGTCCAATTTGGCTTTGAATGCCCTGGTGAGGCAGAACGCTAATTAATTTCTGGGCATATAGCTCTCTCCTTGCTGGATGGAGGCTCCAAATATGAACTCATTTAATTTTCAGTTTCCGGGATTGCCAACTTGAATGAGGCTGAAGCCTTTTTTCATTATCCCAGAAGAACAACGGGGGGGGGGGGGCAGAAGCTTTGACCTTCAGAGGGACATTCTTTCCGGCAAACCCCTCGGAAACCCACGGGGAGGGGGGTGTCTGGGCTGACAGATGATGACTCTCTGTACGGGGTCAAACGCAGGAGGCACCCCTGATCCCTTGAGTCTCTGGATCACCAGGTGGTTCGATCGGCCCCAAAGATTCCATGGATGGAGAATCTTTTCAGTGAAATAGCGATACAGCGATAGCTCTTGCCTTCTTGCGCAGATGTTGAAACAGCCATTCTCAATCTTTTTTTTGGGGCCACGACCATAAACATAACATGAATGACATATATTATAGGATTGTATAAATTGTATAACTTAGAAGGTGGTGTGTGAAGAATTGTTTCCAATCTGTGGCCCCCTTCAGAGGTGCTGGGGGCTCCAGAAATCCATATGATCCCCATTGAGAAGGTCTGTTCCAGCTGCCCAGAGAGAAAGGCTGGTCCCATAGAATCATCGCATAATGGAGTTGAACTCTAAGGCCATCCAGTCCAACCCCATGGCTCAAGGCAGGGTTACAAATCAAAGGATATCTGACCTATGGTTGTCTCCCTTTCTCTTGAATGCCTCCGGCGTTGGAGCGCTCACCACCTCCCCCCCCCAGGTCACTGGTTCCATTGTCGTACCGCTCTAACAGTTGAGACGTTTTTCCTGATATTCATCCTAAATCTGGCTGCCTGTCACTTGAGCCCATGATGACGTGTCCTACTCTCTGGGAGGATCGAGAACCGATCCATTCCGAAGGCATCCGACAGAATGTTTCAACCGCGTAGCCCCTAATTCTGCTTTGCTAAGATGCCAGTTTGGTTTAAGAAAGTTCCTGGACAGTTTTCTCTGCCTTCTTTCTCTAAATTCACGCGTCTCTCCTAGACAAACGCTTTCCTCCTTGAGCAGCTGCTCCATCTCTTCGATCTAGCACAAATGTCAGCTTTTTACCTCCTTTCTGAATGGATTTCACTGAAGGCCAATGAGTTGCATATGGTATGTAATACAAAGGCATATTTTGCTGACAATAATAAAACAATTGCAGATGTCTATATGAAGTCTTCTTCAACAATATTATTAGGGAAGGAGGCTACCTTATGGAGAACTTTCAACCATGACAACAATCAGCTCAATACTGTACTGTGTATAATAACTCAAAAGTAAGTCCCACTGTTTTCAGTGGAGTTTACACTTAGATAAATGTGCAGAGCATTTCAGCTGTAATCACCCAGCTTTCAATAGTTATGCAGAGGTGACCCTGTTACTTGTAACTAGTTACTGCCAAACTCTAATAATGAGATATGCAGGTCTGGTTAAAACAACCACAAGTTCTCATGTACTGTATATAGATATTATCAAGGGCAGTGGTTCACTAGGTATTCTTGGACTAAAAGTCCCAGAAGCCTTAAGCACTAGCTGTGCTGGCCAGGATTTCTTGGAGTTGTAATCCAAGAACATCTGGGGATCCAAGGTTTGGAACCACTGATCTAGGGCATTGCAGTGAACATGGGGCTATCACAAAAATGAGCAACTCTGAGTTTTAAGTTCCTCCACCCACAGCAAAATAAGATGCAGACACTGCTTCCTGCATTTTGACCAGAGGGGAAATTGACATTGTCACTCTTTGTATTTTCCAACCATTTTGGCTGTTGCTTGGGGTGGCAGGGAGTGACATATAGCAGGGGGTGGGACAGGCTGCCAGTGGATTTTTTTCCATGCAGATGAATCTGGTTTTCCTCTGCTAATTTTTTCCTATTTTTTTTCAGAAGTAATATAACAATTATAATTGCATGCAGCCAAGTCAATTCTAATTTATGACTCTTTTTCTGGAGTTCTCTAGGTACTCCAAAATGGTTTACCATTCTCTTCTTCTGGAGGGTGGGCAGTCCTCTGGGACTGTATAGCCTGCTCAAGGCCACAGAAGCTTGTTCTTCTCCTACAAGGCACAGTGGGGAATCAAACTCCCAACTCTTGGCTTTGTGCTTCAACTCACAATCCATTGCCCACCCTACCCCGGAATAAAGATGCAAGACCAGAAATATGGGTTAAGCACAGGCCACACTTTATTGAAAGCCATCATTGTTGCCATCCTTTGACCAGTCTTTCAGTAGCTTTATAACATTTAGTTTTGCTCACTCATAGGAAAGGTGTATACAACTGCAAACATTTTTGTAGTTTAAAGTTTAATTTGTAGTTTAAAATTCTTTATTGTTGTTGTTGTCGTTGTATTATCGTATTATGTTTTTGTAAGCCGCCTAGAGTGGTCATATCGACCAGATAGGCAGGATATAAATAAATAAATAAATAAATAAATAAATAAATAAATAAAGGAAGGAAGGAAGGAAGGAAGGAAGGAAGGAAGGAAGGAAGGAAGGAAGGAAGGAAATAAATGCATGTCTAGCCCTCACAGGTGTCAGCTTCTGCATCATTCTGACCAAAGAGTCAGAGGTTTTGGTCTGAAACACTGTCATCTATAGGATCTATAATAGCAAAATACTTCAGTCTTCTCCATTTATGCCATTTCGACTGGACAAGACACTTTAAGGAGAACTTTTCAAGCCCCGCAAGATTCCCAGCCTCCAGACAAGAAAGAGAGAGATAATGAGCGTGTTTTTTTTTCTCACCAGGATTTCCATAATTTGCCCAAACTGTCTCTGTACAAAGCTGACATCCTTTCCCCTCAAGAAACAAAGCCCACATGGAGAAAGTGATCACAGAAAAACTGGCCGATTGCAAAAAGACGACATCAACCCTCCTGTGTATCGAATCCTTAATACTCTGTGCAATAAAGCAGAGCCATTACTGTTTGGCGCAATCTGCTTTATTTCGGCTAAAACATAGCTTCTGCCATTTTTCTTCTTGTTCTCTTGTTTTATGAAGAATACAGACGATTTTTTAAAGTGTCCTATGCAATGAGGATGATGATACTGTGCTTCCTCGCGCTTGCTTGCAAGGAAACAACGAACAAGAATTTACATCTCTGATCAAGACAATTTAGCACCGAGAAGGAAGTTGCCATACTAGGGTCTCGGGTAGAATGGAAACGGTTAATGCAAACAGAAAAATACTCCTTGATTAAAGAGAGAGAGAGAGAGAGAGAGAGAGAGAGAGAGAGAGAGAGAGAGAGAGAGAGAGAGAGAAATTATAAATCTCAAGTGTATAGAGAGGGGAAAAA